CAAGGGCAAAAAAAAAAAAAAGGGTGGTGGTTGACACCCACCAGTCACAAGGAGAAGGACCCGTCTGCAGCAGACAACATGTGGACATGTCAGGGAGCTCTGACGCAGCAGTGAAGACGCACGTCGAAATCAAGGCTGAATTGGGAGTCAATACCACACTTACCTGCCTGTATTTCTACTCTCAGGAGCCCTGGTGGCGCACCAGCCACCCCAAGGGAGGAAGACTCACCATGAGTCCGAAACAACTCACTGGCAGTGGGTTTGAGGGTTTTTAGTATGGTTCTCAGCTGAGTTAGCCAAGTCACTGATGAGGGTACACGGGATCCTGCAGACACAGACACGCCCCTGGACAGAGACTCACCCCCGCCCAGTACTCTATAAGGTGGGGGGGTCCTGGACACATGCCCTGGACAGAGAACAACCCCCCACCTGTCCACCAAGTAGACCTGTGCTCAGGTCCAGGGGTGAGCTGGGCTCCCTGGCCAGACTGCCGACCTACCACATTCACTAGCCGAGCCGCCTACCAGCTTGAAGAACTGCTGGGCGATTTTCATATGATCCCTCTGAAAAACAAAGCAGGGCTGATAAATAGGAAGGAGGTGACTCATCTTATTTGTTTTACAACTTCTGGCCTTGACCTACTTGCAGAGATTTCACATACACAGTTACTAACCGTTGACAAAAACAATACTAAGTCTTAGGAGCCTAAGCAATTAGAAAATATCCCGAAAGGAATGATCATCTACTTAGGGTCTGACAGAAAAGATTAAAAAATAACCCCAAATCCCCAATTTTACCTTCATAGGACCCTCACTTAAGGAAGTCATTCATTGACTCATTCAACAAATATGCGTTGTTCTTTTCTCATCTATCAGACGCAACAGTGAAAGCAGCAGCTGTCACAATGAAACGTCCTAGAGTTTTGTATTCAACAGTTATTTACTGCTTATCTCCTCCAGGGGGAGAATGGAGTGAACCAGAGATAAAAAGGTTTACTTATGTCCCGCTTTGCTCCAACAAAGGCAGAGCGCTGGTGGCACAGTGGTTTAGCTCTCAGCTGATAACCCCAAACTTGGCAGTTCAAGCCCAGCAGCCATGCCAAGGGAGAAAGATGTGGCAGTCAGCTTCCATTAACGACAGCCTTGGGAACTCTACATGGTACTTCTAGTCTGTCCTCCAGGGTCACTGGCGTTGGAAATAGACTCAATGGCAATGGGTTGGCTGCTCGTAAAAGAACTTAATAGCCCTCCCCCAAAAAGAATGAACTTCAGCGGACAGCACTGAAGCTATAGTTCAGGGAGAGGGCACATGGGAGCAAATGAAGGGGGAGGAAGAGAGTGGAGCACATCCTGGCCCACCAAGCCTTGAGGACGATATCCCTGCTGAGCAGCCAATGCACAGACAGGACCATATGGTCTGCCCCACTATGAGAAACGACATCCCTCACTGACCCATAGGCCTACAGGGGACAACACTGGAGACACAGTATGGGAACTGCACCCAATCTGACCCCACCACATGAAGGCAAAACACTAAAGGCATGCTACAGAACAGCAAGGGGAGCAGAGCAAGGAAGTCCCAAGGGAATACCAAAAATAGACTCTGGGGCCAGGGCAAGGCACCCCATCAGACTCGTCCGGAAAACACTCCAAAGATCAACAAACAGACCTTGAAATATTTACAGGCTTTTCTTTTTTTTGCGTGTCATTGGGGTTTTTGTTGTTGTTGTTTTGTTTGCTTTTATTACTTTGTTTTGCTCTGTCTTGTTTTTGTGCATGTTATTATCTCTGCAGGTCTATACATAAGATAGGCGTGATAAACAATCTGGAGGAGAAAACAATGAAATGGTTCCAGGGGGACATGGGCGAGGGAGAGGGGG